TATATATATATATATATATATATATACATATATATATGCAAATATATACATACACATATACATATATATATATATATAGATAATATTAATTTTAATGATGTTATGATAATAATAATAAGAACTAAAACTATTAAAGTCAAATTATGATAATTAAATTAATAATAACTAAAAAATTAAAATTAATTAAATCTAATTAATTTCCTATACGCTATATATACGCAGCTGCACAGTAACAAGGGCTCCGTTGCTTCACTTCCATTTCATTTATTTATATGTTATTGTTGTATATTAACAATCAATTATAATTAATTAATAAAAATCATACATTATATAATAATTATTTGTTATAATCTAAGGTAATCATAAAAAAAAAAAATAATAAAGGCCGTTTAAAAAAAAAAAAAAAAAAATAATAATAATATTTTATATAATTATACCCCAAAAAAAAGAAAAATAAAAAAAAAAAACGAGAAATAAATGAAATGGAAATATATAAAAAAAAAATAAAACCCATCAATAAACCAAAAATAAATAAATAAGCGCAAAACGAATACGAAAATTACATTCGCTTTACAGCGAATCTCGTTATTACCCACCGCCTCAGATAAATATATATATATATACACAATATACTTTGAAGATTTCCTTTAATTATGGATTTATCGCTCTGCCGATAAATTCCTCTTTTGTTTTGAAAAAGAGTCTTAGCAAAAAGTTCAAATTAATATCTGCTTTAGCATATTGATAGCAATCTACTGAAATTAATCTCAGTTTTTTAGCAAATATGGGCGTGCTTCCTATGGACTCAGCTTCCTATTCTACCAGTTCATCTAGGGCGATCAACAAAGAACACATGCGTCGTGTTTTACTTTTAATTTGCAATTTTTACAGTATCGAGGCTTAAAAACTCGGACGAACGGACGGACGGACAGACGAAGAGATAGAAAAAAAGAGTCTTTAGCTGATTAATGCATGCAATTTATGCAGTCGATTGGAGTTATTCAACTTTCGATCTCCAACAGTATGTCGGAACTCAGGGGGTGAGTAGAAAAGTTTTATAAATTCACTATTACTGGAAAAGGACTTTGTTTGAATTAAGGCAGAAATTATTCAAACAAAAAATAATAATAATAATTTACAATAATTGCTTATCACGCTTCTTCTTCTTGGAAAAAGAAGCTGCTTAACAATTCAACCGAAATTATAAAAATGCCGAAAAGTGAAAACAAAAAAAAAAATAAAATATTTACTAAAGTTTTGCTAAATTTGATTTATAATGAAAAAAAGAGCATAAAATAATAATAAAACAAAAAAAAAGTTATGTAAAACATAACGTTTTGAAATTTTTTCACATTTACAAAAAGTGTTTTATATAAAAGTGTGTATAGCTGCTCCTTATTTTGTCGTACATTCTCTACAGTTTTTTCTCCTCTCTTTTTTTTTTCTATTCAACATAGAAATCATTTTTTTTTTTTTTTTTTTTTAGCTGTGGATGTGTAGACAGAGGTGTTGTGTAGTTGGGTTATTTTATACTCAATAGATTCACTGTTTTTCTTAATCAACATATTTTCTATACATTTTCGGTATCTATGTAGTGGTGAGTGTTTCTACTTGTATTCAGTTTCAAAATTTTTCTTTTCATTTTTTTTTTTTTTTTGTCATTGGCCAAGAGTGAAAATAATTGATTTTTCACTTTACATTTTCATATTTGGTGTTTTTTTTTTTTTATTTTTTTGTTTTAGTTCTTTCAATAATAATTATTTACATAATGAAAAAAAAAAAAACAAATATATGTTTTTTAATTAACCAAAAGATTGATCACAAATTTAAAATTTGAATATTTTTTCTCTTGTTTTTTTTTTTTTTTTTTTTTTTTAAATAAATAAATTCGCGTTTGTATTTTCAAAATAATTTCAATTAAAAATCTTTTTTATGATTATCGGGTAATGAACTCCGAGGGTTCTCAGCTGAAAGTCTTTTAGTCCTTTATAAGACGTGGTCAAGAATGCTCTTAAAAAAAAAAAAAAGAGCAAGTCGAGAATGCTGGAAAAATAAGAGAACGAAAAATGGATTAAGTCAAAAATGACGTCATTATGTTAGACTAAAGGCATTTTATAGTATTTTGTCATTGGGAAATCATGAAGAATACATCTGTATATATATATATATATGTGTGCGTGTATGTGCGTTCCTCAAAAGCGTGACTGTGTCGATCAATTCAGAAATCGATTTTGTCATGTCTACGGTTACTACTTGAAAATGTTGTGTAAACTCAACAAAATAACCTCACATTCTTTTTTTTTTGTGAACTTCATCAGATTGAAATCCAAAATCAACTAAATGGAGCCAAGAGTTTGGTCACAATTATCAAAAACATAAAAAATAGGGCAAAGTATATAGATGTTGTCGTTCCTTTCATATACTCTGATTGGAAATGGCATACGAAATATATTCAAGATGAAAGTTATAGTAAACGATACGATGCTATATGAAAGGTGCGTCGACTGAAAGAAATTTCTTTCTATTTTGTAAATAAAGTAAAGATTTCTACTTCGTTTACTTTCCATACCGTGCACCACTTGTGGTATCGGGGCTTAAATTAAAATAGTTCCACCTGTCTGTCCGTTTGTTATTTATCCATGTAAATTTTTGTTTAAGCGACAGGTCGCAATTCTTGAGATATTTTGATGAAATTTGGTATTGTAGCGTGTTTTGACCCAAGGACGAACGGTACTAAAATGGTTCAGATCGGTCCACTTTTTCGAGCATTCCCTATATAACGTCCTATTCTAAAAAGCCGTTGTGGACTGGCTGGGGCACTTTTTCAATCTCCTCCTGTATAACGAAAACTAGAGTTCAGACAAAAAGGTATAATTTTCAATGCTTTATGATGACCAAATTTGGACCATCTCGGTCTATTTTTTTGGTTCCTGCCCTATGTAAGAATTAGACTTGTACTATGTTAGGTTGCGTGTTAGGCCCGCTTCCCCATAAATACGCACTTGACAAATAGTCCGTTTATATAGAAACAAGATATAATTTTTGTGTTCCATAATAAAAATTAGAATTATGTTAGACAATGTGGTGTAGGGTATTTAATGGTTGGTCTCGCTCGATCCTAATGTTCTCACTTGTTTTAATTTAAGGTAAATACAAATGCAGTAGAATTTCCCTTATTTTCTACAAAGATTTCCATGGCTTTTGTACTCTCTCAAGTTTGGTTTTTGAAATGTGACTTCCATCTCGGATAAAATGTTCCTTTAGTAGTGCTTTAATCCCGTTTGATAACTTTGCTACTCAATTGAAAATTGTATGCTATATTTAGCATTGCTGGCGGTCTGAATAAGGCGGTCACCGCTAACGACTAACGCATCTTGGTGGGTTTGTTGGTATATCTTCTACCTTTGGCAGAGGATCGCCTTTTTCTTATTAACCCTTCATATCGATTTGAAATAAAACGACTCGCAGTGAGTGGAACATCTCTGAAAAACTGTATATCAAATGGGACGGACGCCATATATTTGCAAAAGAATTTCTTCGGACGGACTTGGACAAAAGCTAAGTGTGGGAATTATTTTTTAACTATACAAAGCTAAAATAAAATTCAATCATGAAGCGCTAATAGAAAGTTAGTGAAACGAATTTTTAGAAAAAAGAAATAAATCGAGTTGAACGGAATTTGTAAAAAAAAAAAAAATAAATAAATAAAAATTATACAGGAAAACAACAAATTTTTATTTGAATAAACTGAAAGGTGATGAATGATACGTTTTTTTCCCAGAGCTACTCTTGTGTGACTTAATATAAAGCTTTCGAGCTCTTGGAGAAAATTAAATTTCTTATATACCTCATAAAATCTTAATCGCCAAAGACTTTTATGCAAATTCACACACACACAAAGCGACGACTCTGGGAAAAAATCGTACTTTTTTTCACTTTTCAGTTAATTAAAATAAAAAACTTGTCTATGAAAAAATAGTTTATATAAAAAAGTTTTTGAAAATCAGTCAGTAGTGGACTTTAGACATATTCAATGAGCATAAAATAGTGTTAGGAAAATGTGTTTAAAGAATATATTCTTTGTACTCACCTCCGAATTAGTTCAATTTGATGTCAGCGTCTGAACGTAATCATCGAAAAATCTCTCATGTCTCACATTATAGCTGAGCTTCAATTACGTATATCCGGTTGTGAATTGTTGTTTTAGCATTAATTGTTCATAAAATTTCTAATACGAAATCCTTAGTAATGGTCTTTTCTTGCTAAATAGATTAGAATTAGAAAGAGTGTGCATTTCGTTTTCTCTCTGATTTTGGTTTTTATGCTTCAATGAAGCAAAACATGATGATGCTGTGTTGTGTTGTTTTTAGCGTTTGTTTCTCTCGTCTTCGTTTTGTTTTTTGTTTTTTTTTCTCTTTTCTTTTTTAATAATACGATAAATATGTTGCCGATATTTTTCTTCTTCTTCTTTTTCGTCTTCTTGTTCTTCTTGTTCTTCTCAATTTCCACTTTCATATTTTATATATATTTACAAATATTTTTTTAGATTTTGATCTAAGATTTTGGTTTAGTCGCCGCTTTAATTCCATCTAGTATTTGTTTACTCATTTTTCACATACTAAGCGCGTGTCTTTAATTTCATTTTAAACATTTTGTTACACCCACTTAATGGCGTATTTGTTAGCGTGTTTATTTTGTTAATTGCTTGAGATTAGTTTTGAAAGCAGATTTTTTTACAAATGTTGTCCATAATATTCAGCCGCATGAGGATAATGGGGATACGCTTGATGGAAACCAGGATCGCCAGGTGGGCGATGCATCATATGCGCTTGACTATCCATCATGTAACCCATAGGATCGTGACCGTAACCAGACGGGCCGGCGTGTGGTGTATAAACTGGAAAAGTTGTATAAACGAAAAGAAATTTTTTTTTTTTTTTGATTTTAAATTATTTTTTAAAAAACAAAAACGAAAACAAAAAGTTATTCGTTATCGAGCAGAGAGAGTTAGAAAAAAAATATATAAATTAAAATCTTTCAGATCGTTTGTAAGACTATCTGTCTGTAGGCGTCTGACTCTAACAATAATTCAAGCAAATTATTTAACGTACGTTTTCTATAAGACAAAAATTAAGTTAATTAAAAATTGGGTCTTCGGGGAACGTGTGAGCTTCTTGCTCTCAAGAAAATCATGACATTAACGGCTTTATACGTCAACAGAGTGGCGATTCCAACAAGCACAAAAAAGCTGGGGACAAATTGATGAACTTTTAATGTACTGTTGCAATCAGTTCACAGTCAGCCGAAAATATCCTTTACTCCTTTACTTTTTTTTGGCGCTTGTATTACTACACTCAAATACAGTCAAAAAAATACAAAACAATGTTAGTTTGTCTGCAAACTCTTCACAAAACTCTTTACTGAGGGGGTTATATATTCAAATAGTCCCACCTACAGCATACGCAATTTCAAACTCGCCCCAGGTAAATACGGTTTTTCTAACTGTCCATCTATGCAAATCGATAGGAAATAGGTCTGCCTCACAATAGCAGGAATTCGCTCGAAAAAAGTAAGTTTGTAGATAATTCCACAACCGACTATGACTGAGTTGCTACTACGATATATGTAATAGACTTCAAATAAACTTATTGACCTCAATTATTACACTGCAGACTTTATAAATTTTTCCCTAAATACGCCCTAAGTCAGATTTGATTGCTTGCGCTGACAGGTCACGTCATTGCGCCTAAGTCCACCTTTAGGAACATGGAGATTTAGGTAAGAACACATGAACATCTAACGCGCAGATGGGACAATCGAGCCGAATGTGCACGATTGACCAATAATCCCGATTTTTTTTGTATTTTTTTTTTTGCAAACTCTCTAAGATCTTTCCTTTCGGCTAACAAAAAGGTGCTCGAGAACTCCTTTCTATTCACAGTCAATGCAAAAAATCTATTTCGAAAATCGGATAGTTATTAGGGTTCCGCGATTAAGTTAGAATTCCTTTCTAAGATCTGATATATTAATTCGATATATTAACTCTCAAGATAACTTACCTGCACGATTTGATTGATCTATCATTGGCTGTACAATCCTTCGCCTCGCGTTAATAAACCTGAAAGTATACAAAAATAATCAAAAAAAAAAAAAAAAAAAGTCAAAGTAAAAGATTATAAAATATTAAACATCCTTTATAATATATATATATAAATTTTTTTCTTTTTATGTTATTAAATGAAAAATAAAAATTGAAAGGAAATGCGTAAAACTTGAACAAATAATTAGAAATCCTAGTCGGATTTCATAAATAATTTATATAAATGATTTATACGATCGTTTTGTAAAGTAAATCATATCTTCCGTAGCCACAGCGCTACCGTCAGAATGAACGAAGGTAACCCAAGGAAACACGGCCAAATGATGTCTTCCGTTTTTATTTCGGTGGTAACGATGGCATCATAAAAAATAATAAGTTTTAATGCAACGCATCAAAGCAAAAACAATTGAATGATAAAAGCATAAATGCCGACAATTGTTGGTTGATTTTCTCCTTCGTTTTTTTCATATATATTTTTATTATATTGTTTTTTTTTTTTTTTTTTTTTTTATTCTTCTCTTATTTATACTGATTTGCAGCATCAAATCAAATGCAGTTTTGATATTAAGGTTGAAGAAAAAAAAAAAAAAAATTACATTATCCTCGGTATCTCGAACAACTCAGAGAAAAAAAACTCTGTGTATGATGTACTAAATGAGATGATGGTTGACAAAATCATAACACAGATAGAGTAGCAGCGCAACACAGTAACAAAAAAACAAAAAAAAAAAAAGTCCACAGTACACACAACACCGTACACTAGTTATTGAAAGGAAATACTTATATACTGCACACAGCAAAAATGTATAACTTTATAAAAACAAAACAATAAAACAAACAAAAACATAAAATAAAAAAGCAAAAAAAAAAAAAAATGAAAAAAAAACATTTCAAACAACCTGCTTTATATTTTGTAAAGAAAGAAATCTTAGTGAGTATATGTGTTTTAAATTTAAAAAAAAAAAAAAAAAAAAAAACGAAAAAGACAAAACTTAACTTAAACCCAATCCAGTTGAATCTAAGTAAAGCCGCTTTTTATAACTACCCTCAGTAGATAGATATAACAACTTCAACGAACAGTAGGTGACCTTCGGAAATATACCAACAATCCAGTGGCAATCATGTGAGGCCCTAACCTTTGAAGAGGCATCAACTAGGCATCATTTCGTTCGAGAGAGCAAGTCAACTAAGCTTACGAGTTCATCGCTCTTTCTAATCATCTGACGAAACATAATCGCGTTCATAAAAACTTTGCGAAAAGGAATGTAAGCAACATTTGTTTACGAATATTTATAAGTGATAATGAAAGTTGAAGAAATCCATTATCTGTGTGAAAGAAAACTCTTCATATGTAAAGCTTGCCCTTCAAAGCGGTAACGTCATCAATTTTTTTGAGAATCCCTTAGCCAAAAATAGGAAAACGCACTAAAGATCGTATAACTTCTAAATCATTGCGGAGCCAAGGTAAAGTTATCGAAAATTTTTTAGAAAGTGTTCAAGTCAGCATTTTTTGGGTCATTATAGCTACCTCGGCCACACACAAATGTTTTTTTGCTTTCCCAAAACAAAATTGAGCAACAAATTGGAAAGAATTCATGTCTTTTTTAGAGGATCGACTCAATCTCGTCGTGCAATGCTTTCACCCTAAACTTCTTTTTACACTATAAGAGACAAACAGGAGAGGACAGAGAATATTGATTTGAAGTCGCGAAGTCTTAACAAGCTTCGATAACTTATGTTGCTTGTTGAGCTCTTCATCAGCAAGGGTGTGGTGTTGTTCCTCACCAAGCTTTCTTTAACTGCATCGCCGATGGCCAGAAATTCGCGCCAGAAATGCGATCCCTCACCAATGTCTTCGCGTGGAGTCCTAATGTTTTCTGCACGTTATGCACATTTCTCTTCAAGAAGTTATGCTTATGTGTAACATCGCTAGTACACATAAATTTGCTTTGATCGAGCAGTAGTTCTGATAGAAAATTTCGATTCAATTTGCAAGCCTTGCCATTAGGAACTAGAAAAAAGTTGAACTAGAAACTGGGATTACATAGACATATCCGGACTTGATCTCGAAGCAGAGAACTAATATAAGGAGCATATGTGCAAATAGGTGACACTACTTATAGGCATAAATGCATTACTTTTTCCCCTAGCTTGTGTGGAATAATATGCAAGCAGAACTTGGAAATATTTTGAAGGTATTTTTTGACATCACTCTCTACTGCTTAAATAAATAGATCCTATTGCTTCATAAGATGGGACTGGAGGTCGATCGAAGTCGCATATAACTTTTGTTTTATTTTTGCAACGGATAAAATGTCATGCTAGAGGATGGGGAGAAATGCATGAGGCAGAGATAGATGTGTTTAACACAAATATTAGAGTTTTTTTTTCTTTTTTTATTTTTTTTCTTGATTATTATTATTTTCTATAGTAATGCTGTGTGCACTGTTTTTTCCTTTTTTTTTTTTTTTTTTTTTTTTGTACGGTTGTGGTTGCTTGATTATTACTATTGTTGTTGTTATTTTTCTGAAACTAACAATTTCTTGGCACAAACATTGTAAAGTTGAAATCTGCGCCTTTTTTTTTTCTTTATCAGTATTTACTGAGTATTTGTCGCAAACTTTATGATATTTTTGCTAATGTTTTTTTTTTTTTCTTTTTGAATTGGTGTTGATGGTGTGTGTGTGTGTGTTTGTGTGTGTGTGTGCATCGAGGCTGGTAACATTATTTCTTTTTTCCTGGCTACAAATTGAGGTTAATGCACTGATTGGTTTCTGATGTGACCGACCAGCCAGTCAGCCAGCCAGCTAGCTAGCCCGCAAAATAATAATAAAATAAAGAATTTCCAGGAAAAAAGAAGAAAACATATATAAGAAAATTGACTCAAAAGTAATTTCCGTTAGTTGCAGAGAGATAAAATGAAATATAATGAAGTAGAAAATGTATATACATACATACATATATATCTATATATACATGCATGTATGTATGTATATTTATATATGGGAAAGAAAATATGAAAACAAAAATTTAAAGCTTTTTTAAATTAGTTTTTGAAATGTTTGCTGCTAGTAGTATAACTAACTAACTACCCTGGCATAAAATTCTTATTATTATTATTTATTTTTTTTTTTTTTTATCATCTTTCACCCCCGTCGTTGATGGGTTCTTGTATACGCAGCAGAAACCATTTTGTTATTTAAAAGTTTTGGTGCTTTTTGCACGCTCTTTCTCATATTGTAAATAATATATATATATATATATGCATATATATGTGTGTTTGTGTATGTATGTTCGTTTTTGTAATTAAGAACGTTTTTGTTTTTATTTCTCTCTCTCTGCATATAATTTGTCTGACAACAAATCAAAATTATGACCCAAAACCACCCTTACAGCTTGTATGGGATCTCTTATCTTTGCATGGCAATAAACTGAAGCCCTCCACCCACCCACCCACCAGTCGTTCATTCAGTATCGTTCATTCAGTCATATCTATCTCCACGTTGGAAAACAGATGAAATTCAAAGATTACCAACAACTCTGAAGCTAAACATTGGCGTATTTTGAGAACAAACAGTAGGTAACGAAAGATGGTGTTGATTGATGTGAAAAAATTGCATGAAAATATCTTTGGAATATTTTGCTTAAAAAAATATTTCCCTTAAAAAAATGTTTGTTTTACTACTCAAGAAAATCATAAACACTTTAAGAATTGAAAATGAATTGATTTGAATGAGTGACTTTAAGTGTGAATGACTTGATCTTAACTTCAATAATTCTAATCTTGATCCACGATATTCACTGATGAATATCAGAAATGCTTACCCGATGGTGTCTACATAGGGAACGAAAGTATAAATATAAATGATAGGCTGAAGGCTTAGGAAAGTGCAGGACAAAGGCAAGCAGCGATTATTCGTGAAGACTTTCCTTTATAGAAGAGGTTCAGAATTAAAGGGAAACGATTGACCTTGGGAGTGCCTTTTATGGAATATCTGAAGACTATAGAACCTATGGTGGATATTGTTGGGTGTTTGTAGAAATACACAAATGAGAAAGTCCTTAATTAAATTAAGGAGGTTATAGCGATGCTCTTGCTGATTTACATACATGATGTTAAGAAAACATTGAACCATTGCAGTAAAAGTTCATTAGAGAATTAGGCTATTAACAGACGAAGGGACTAAACAAATGCACCTAAACCTATCCCAGTCTGTGACGAAATATTGCAGAAAACATCGATTCGTTTTCCTTAGTCGGTAAAGTAATTGCTTAGATGGCAAGTTTGAGAATCCCTTGAAAATTTAGGGAAGCATAGGGTACAGGGAAATAAAACTAAAACTACAAGCAAGCAAGGAGGCATTAGGGGGATCTTTATAAATTTTATTTACCCGTTTAAAGTTATCATCAAATTGATTTTAAAGTTTCAAACAATTTAACCAGATCTACCTCTCCTTTCGTCCATCCTTGCATATCTATGAAACTTTAGTAGACGCACAGAGTGTCTTAATAGCCTGCAAAAAGTACTAATAGTGCATTGTCTTCTCACCTCGAAAGTTAACTACGATCTCGAAGCTATTTCCGTCTGCCCGTCTTGGAAACTTATTATCAATCCTATTACACCTTTTGTCTACGATATAAAGTGAATAACTTTTGAAATTTTTTTGATCACAATCGCCCAGCCGGGTAATAGAATGATAGTTTAACAGGTCGAATTATTTTATTAGTACCGCTTCGAAATTCTTTGATGGCTATGGCTAGTCATCGAGGAAGACGATTACTTGAATAGTCTTTTAATTCTCTCTCCCTGAAAATATTATAACTATAACTATCTAATTAATTGTAATTGTCGTAAGTTGCGGTAGGAATAATAAAAACGTAGACGATCAAAAAGTCCCAATTTTTGCCAGAGTCGAGCCGAAATTTTGTCCAAAGTTGCTCAGACCTATGGTTAGCAAAAATTCAACTGACATCGTCTATTTTATGCTTCCAACTAAGATCTTGAATATGTAATGTTCGCCCAGACATCAGTCCAACTTATTTGCACACTTCTATCTAATCTAATCTTATATACGCATAAATATAGCTTCAAATTGCTTCCTTTAAGCATCGTAATCAAAAGATGAAAACAGTTGTGAGTTTAACAGGAATGCTTTGCATTTTTTTGCCTTAAATTCAAATGCATTTTCAGCTCTACTTACCAGTTATTCACTTGCAGTATCGTAAGGCCGGTATCTTGCGCCAATTGCTTTTTCTGGTCCTCGGAGGGGTAGGGATGCTACAAGTATACAAAAGAAGAGTAGACAGGTTTAAAAATTTTACGAATAGAATTAAATCAAGCGTAATATTATTTAACGATATTTAAAAAAAAAAATCATTAATCATTTTAAAAAATGACATTTTCGAAGATTTTGTAGCGATATAAAAATAATTCGAAAAAAAGAGATTTTAATCTCTTTATATGCTTGTTGAACTAAACGGTGCTTTAGTTGGATTTGATAAATAAACAAACAAACCAAAAAAAAAAAAAAAAAATCACAATAAACACAAAAATTGTTTTATATGTAGAGCCATAGCCCACCCTAAGAGCGAAAAGTTTTTTTTTTTTTTTTTTAGAGATAAATTGTCCTACTTTGGTTTAGATTTTTTCGGTAGTTCAGTAGTAATCAAAAAATAGAAGAAAAAAAAAAGTCGACAAAAAAAAAGTTTTTTTTTTTTTTTTTTTTATCTATGATTGTGCTGTGGCCAGCAGTAGTGAAAACAAATGCATATTGTGTGTGCAGCAACTCCCTTATAAATTTTTAACCGTCTGTTGGCCGTCTGAGTGGCGTCAATGTGTAAACAATATTTGTTATATAGTTTGTTGGAATTTTCTTTACCCACTGCCACCCCAGTACTAAAGGCATACCTGGTTTATCATTTCGTTGGCTGCACGCGATAATGAACGTCAGACGAGATCGACAAAATTGACGAAAGCAGAGATATATTCTTCCCGTTGATGATTTCCTTTCTTGATCAGTATGAAAAATTTGTTATCGATTTAATCGAGATCTGTTGCACTTAGCCGATCGCAATAAACACGAAAAAGTAAATTATTTTATGTTAAAAGCGTTTTTATTTGCTGCACATTTATGTGAAGATCGGCACTAACTCGGATTAAGTACCCAACACTATGACAAAACTAACATAGCTTTCAATTCTTTCTTATTTATTTATTTTTTTTTTTTTTTTGAATTGAAATTTCAAGTGATTGTTAAAAAAAAAATAAAAAATCGAAAAACTTTTTATACATAACAATTATTAGTGATGTGCATTCTTTATTTGTTTACTTATTTAATTATTTATTTATATATTTTCTTTTTATATTAAGTAAATTTTCAAAAATATTTTTCAGGGGTTAAGGGTTGCTGCCTTAGAGAATACGTAACAAATTCATCGCAACGACAATTATAGATATTGTAAATGAACGCATAGTTAAGGTATTATTGTCGCGAACTAATCTAATCTTGTTGTCTGTAATCTGGTTTTAGTTAAGGTTTTCGTTAACTAAATATTTATTTTACAAATCTAAGCTCGTTTCAGTCCAAAAGTTCAAAAAATAGCTTAATTCTTTTAAAATATTCCAAAATGAAGTTATATAATATGTATTGATAGCTTAAATGCGACAGAGTTAGCAAATTTCACCAATCAGTGATCGGAAGTAAAATAGCGCGCACATACAACTTTTCTACTTCTTTTATACAAAGTTTAGGAGAGTTTTTCTTGTCTTTTGTAAATCTTTAAAAAATGCATCAGAGACAGCATTATGTGGATGCGTATGAGAAAGGCAGATATAACGTGTACTGGATTTACCTAGTGATTTGTGAGGAAGAAACATTTGGAGATTGCAGAAAGGACCGGAGATAAGTAAAGCCTTGAGTTTTATTACATTGATTGCTATTTTTGCATTCAACCTTAGGCTAACGTAACACACGGCTGCATATATCTTTTCCCTTAATATTCTCTAACAAAGTAGACATAAATTAAATGTAAATGTGTGTTTGATTCTTTCATAAAAACTCTACAATTATGTTCCTGATCACCGTAAGACTCTTGACTTGATTTAATCCTTTCCAGCCTATGTATGATTGGAAGGTGCATATTCGCCAAATATGAAGGAGAAATTATTAAAAGAAGATCGCAGATAAAATTTCAAAAGCGACATGGTTTGCTTCTAATCCTTTCGGCACTGCAGGCTAATAAAAACAAGGCTTTGTAGCGAATATAGCAGATTTGGAAATCAATATAAACATTTTCAAGGACTTTTCTAAAATTCTTAAAAACAATTACGGCGGCTGCGATAGATAAAAAACAACTTATGAAAAAGTACTTTTCTGGCATTTAACATTTTTTTGATGTGTTCGGTCATAACCTCATTTTATCGAGAATATTGGCAGTTATGTCATAATTAATAATAGTAATATAGGAATATGCCTAATATATTTTCGGATTGAAATACATATATAGAATTTAAAGTTTCAGAATAAGAAATAGATAAAAGAAAATTTCTATTAAATAATTACAAGAATCATTTTTCCAATATTTTATTATTATTAACGGGTTGGAGGGAATTTTTGGGCAGCAGTCACTTCACATCTTCACACAACACTGTGAACATGATTTTTGTACCGCGAGGAATCTATTGCACGTGTACATCGAAATATGTACAATTAACAGTTGATGTATGTATACATTTTGTAATATTTATTTTCATAGCAAGCGATCAATTGAATAATTCAACTTTATAATTAACACTAAGTCCTCTGCATATATTTTTCTAATCGAAATTAATAAGATTTTAAGTTTGTTTTTGATTTTATTGCAACTTTGTTTACGACCGCATCTATTGGAATTAATTTTTTAATTTATTTTTATAACATGTTGGTTGGCTATAAGGAAACACCTTTTCTAGGCTAGACTATGACCAAAGAATGACATCATAAAACATTTCACTTTAACCAATATGCCAATAAAATGATATATAAATTATAGAAGAAACAAAACAAAATCTCAAACACGCCCTTTAATATGGGCATAAATCCTTTAAAGAATGCATAACAAATGAATATAAGTTGTATTCAATGTACGGCAGTAAAATGACATCAACATAAAATGCAATTTGTGCATATTCGGTTATATAACCACCATCACTATTACCACACCGCACCGCACCGCACCGCACCGCACCACACCACTGCACTGCATTGGAATAAGTATAATAAGAAAAATAAGTAGAAACTGAAGCTGAAGCTGAAGAAGAAGAAGAAGAACAAGAATACCTATGGATTTTAAGCAATATAATAAAATAACCCTTTGTGTGTAGCTATGGATTTAATATATTATCCACAAATACAAATATTATGCATAAGCAAACATACAATAATATCGTGTGTGTTTATATGCATGGAGGTTGGTGGTATCGTATCTACCTGTTCGCAAAAGGAAGAACTAGAAACGGAAAGAGAGCAAACAGTCAGTAGTAGTAGTAAAGTATTAAAGGTCCGTGGAGCGAAGGGAAGCCCTGTTCAAAGCTATTTAGTATCTGTCGAAATTGTCATTTGTTGCGTGAAATTTACCGTTTTCTTATGCAAAACCATGTTCAGCCAACAAGAAGAGCAATAACGCACATATGTATTATGCACGTATGCATATATATATATATGTATGTGCTATATATGTAGATAAATTTAACAAAACAAGAATACAATTTATACGTAAAATATGTTGAAATTGAAATTTTCAACAACAAATGCTATATGGTCAGGGTTTTATTATGCTTGTGCCATTATTATGGCATATGTAGGTTTGAAAGCATACAACAAACAATGTCTGCAACTTCGTATAGGTACATATATAAACATATATGCATATGTTTGTGTGTGTATCTCATATTAGGAAAAAGGATAGTTAATGCATTTCTCTGCTTCGCTCTGTCTTAAGCTTCTAATCTATCGATCAGTAATTGCCAGGACTAAATAAGAAAGAATTCGACGTTTTTTTCATAAACTCAACGTCTCCTTTAAGACTAATGCAATGCTTCTCAAAAATTTAATTATCTTTTTTTTTTACGGAACATTTTACTAACATTACTTGACTACATACATAACTTTCATTAAAATAAATGCAATTCGTAAACACTCGGAGCTAACTGTTTAAGATTTAATCCTTTCTAGAGATAATAAAATGTTTTGGTACATTTGGACGACCGTTGCGCTAATCCCGGGAATTATTGACCAATCTATCATATATATGAATATTTCACAAATACATATACACGTATGTTTGCATGTGTTTGCATATATAAGTTAATGTTTGTCTATTTATTTTGTTTACACCCATTTGTATGGTTGCACTAACAGCACTGACAGCTACTGTAGTAGCTGCTACACTCTGTTATACATATATATATATATATATATATATATGCAAACACCACAACGACATACCGAAACCCAGACTTTAATAATAGAAAATTGCATTCTGGAGATGTGGCCAAGTTTGTTTTAACATAAATTTACATGATCCTGCCTAGGTATACGAAGCACTGAAAAGCTCATACTATCTTATACATACTATCATGTGTACGTACATATGTTCATAGCAGTTGTCCTGTTGTCCTTTCTTTCTCAACTTATTCTAAGTTTCAAAGTAAATTTGTGGCTCTTTGGTTTTGGCTAAAAGTATTGATGTTTGTTGTTGTAAACATGTATATATATATATACATATATATGTATATATATCTTTTTAGAAAATTGCACTTATTTTACATGCATGCACAGCTCCCGTTTTGCATCCCGTTAAGCAGAAAGTACAATTAGAAGTCATAGTATATAAATTACATTTATATGAATGCTTCGTATATGTACTTTTATGTTAGTGTGTGCATTATTCTTAAGCATAAAGGACGAGTCACTAAAGCAGTCATATTATCACATAAAGGTAAAATGTTGTTGAGCAACAAACAAAAACGAAGTAAATTAAAATAAAATTTATTAACATCGAAAAAGAAAAAAAAAAAAAAATAAATAAATAAATAAAAAAAAAAAT